TTTTTTTGAGACGGAGTCTTACTCTGTCACCAGGGTGGAGTGCAGTGGCGCAATCTCGGCTCACTGCAACTTCCGCCTGGGTTTAAGTGATTCTTCCACCTCAGCCTCCCAAGTAGCTGGGACCACAGGCGCATGCCACTACACCCAGCTAATTTTTGTATTTTTAGTAGAGACGGGGTTTCACCATGGCCAGGATGGTCTTGATCTCTTGACCTCGTGATCCTCCTGCCTCGGCCTCCCAAAGTGTTGGAATTGCAGGCGTGAGCCACTGCACCCGGCAGTTCTTTTTTTTTAAATTGCAAATTAGCTGGGCATATTGGCTCATGCCTATAAAGTAATCCCAACACTTTGGGAGGCCAAGGCAAGCAGATTGCTTGAGAACAGGAGTTCGAGACCAATATGAACAACACAATGAAACCCTCGTCTCTACTAAAAAATTCAAAAATTACCTTGGCATGGTGTTGTGCACCTATAGTCCTAGCTACTCATGAAGCTGAGCTGGAAGGATCACTTGAGCCCAGGAGGCGGACATTGCACTGAGCTGAGATCAGATTACACCACTGCACTCGAACCTGAGTGACGGAGTAAGACTCAAAAAAAAAGTATAGGCCAGGCACAGTGGCTCACACATATAATCCTAGCACTTTGGGAGGCCAAGGCAGGCAGATCACTTGAGGTTGGGAGTTTGAGACCAGCCTGACCTGCAAGGAGAAACCTCATCTCTACTAAAAATACAAAATTAGCTGGGCGTGGTGGTGCATGCCTGTAATCCCAGCTACTCAGGAGGCTGAGGCAGGAGAATCACTTGAACTCAGGAGGTGGAGGTTGCAGTGAGCCAAGATCGTGTACTCCAGAACTGGGCAACAAGAGAGAAACACTGTCTCCAAAAAAATATATATATATAAATGTTGATAACAGGTAACCACAGATGAAGAGAATGAAGTTGGGAGTATAAATCAACCAATCATCTTAAAATTCTTTGTCTTAAACTAGGAAAGCTAAAACCATGGGGGCACTCGAAAGAAAATAATTATCTGAATGGGCATGTCAACAGAATTGATTTCCACAAGAAAACTTACAAACAACCCCGTCTCCAGACAAAGTAAGTACCTAATTACACAGCTTTATGATTATTTTAATTTCAAAAGCAGCACCTCAGAGGTACAGAGGCTCAGTAATCGTGGTGTTTTTTGTTTTTTGGGTTTTTTTGTTTGTTTTTTTGTTTTTGTTTTTTTTTTGAGACGGAGTTTCACGCATGTTACCCAGGCTGGAGTGCAATGGCGCGATCTCGGCTCACCGCA